CATAGAATCCATCGAATTCCTGGGTGATACTGTAGAACAGGAGTAAGAACAGCTGTTTATCATAGAAACATTCACACTACTCCTTCACATGAGGTTGTTCGGTGTAATGATGCATAGCAACAGGCAGAACTGCTCACCACCTTCGTCGAATCATCATGAAAGTTGAAAGACAAAGCCGGTAGATCACTCATCTCGTACGAAAGATGAAACTCAGCCTTTTCTCAAATAACAACAATAAAACGTTTTTGACATAATTTTATTTTTTTTCCGCGAATATACAGTAATAATGGTTTTTAAATGTTTTATTAATCAGTTCAAACTCGTTTTCCATTTAGAATAATTGAACTCTTGGAACTCTTGGATCTGGGTCTTCTCTGGTCTCATCACTGTTCTCAGAATTCTCCATGGAATCATCTTCTTCCGATTCTTTTGACAATATAACTTCAGCATTACCGCTTTGACGTTTGTTCCGTGATTGTTGCCTAACTTGGTTTGATCCGATTTGATTGTTCTGTCCTGGAGGTCCCATATTGTTTTCTTGTGTCTGCCCAGTGGAGCCCTGAGTATTGCCTCGGTTTTGTCCATCAGGTCCTTGATTGTTCCCCTGATGTTGTCCTTGTGGTCCCACCTGAGTTTGTTCTTGTCGTCCTCCTTGATTGTTACCTTGTGGTCCGTTTTGAGGTTGGCCTGGTGGCTTGCCTTGGTTTTGTTCTGAGCTTTGACGTTTTTCAACAGACTTCTGACCATTTTGTTGATTATCTCCGTTTGGTCCTCCTAAGGGTCCTTGGTTTCCTCCAAAAGATCCTTGGTTATTTCCTTGATTCTGTCCTCCGGAAGATCCTTGCTTGTTACCTTGATTCTGTCCTCCGAACGATCCTTGGCTTCCTCCAAATGATCCTTGGCTATCTGTTTGATTTTGTCCAAATCTTGTACCCTGGTTGTTTCCTTGGATCTGTCCTCCGAAAGATCCTTGGCTTCCTCCAAATGATCCTTGGCTATCCGTTTGATTTTGTCCAAATCTTGGACCCTGGTTGTTTCCTTGGTTCTGTCCTCCGAAAGATCCTTGGTTGTTACCTTGGTTTTGTCCTCCAAACGACCCCTGGCTTCCTCCAAATGGTCCCTGATTCTGACCACCGAAAGAACCTTGATTGTTCTCCTGATTTTGGCCCATTTGGCGCTTTGAACGTGACATTCCTTGTTGAGATCCTAAGCCTTGTCCTCCGAATGCTCCTTGCGTGTTTCCTTGGTTCTGCCCCTGTGGTCCACCTTGGATGTTTTTTTGTGGGCCACCTTGGTTGTTTCCTTGTGATCCCTGGCTGTTTCCTTGATTCTGTCCAAGTGTTCCCTGGTTGTTTCCTTGATTCTGTTCTTGTGGACCAACTTGGTTGTTTCCTTGGGAACCCTGGTTGTTTTCTTGATTTTGTCCTTGTGGTCCAACTTGGTTGTTTCCTTGGGATCCCTGGTTGTTTCTTTGGTTTTCTCCTTGTGGACCACCTTGGTTCTGCCATTGTCGTCCACCTTGGTTCTGCTCTACAGTTTCACGCTTCTCAAATGATTTCTGACTGCTTGTTCCATTTTGTCTAGGCGGCCCGCCAAGTGGTCCCTGGTTGTTTTGATTGCGATCTCCGAACGGTCCTTGTCCATTGGTCTGGTTGTGTAATCCGAATGGTCCACGGATTTCTGTTTGGTTTTGTCCACCAAACAGTCCGCGGCCTTCGGTTTGGTTTTGTCCATCGAATATTCCACGACCGTAGCCCCCAAAAAAGCCTTGGTTGCTTCCCTGATTTTGAGCTGCAGCTTGGCGTTTTGAGCGTGCGTTCCGGGACACTTCTCTCTCAATGCCAGACTCTGTTACGTTTGGTCTTGGTGGTCCCTGATGGCCATCTTCGTTTGGTCGGAACGGTCCACGATGAGGTCCTTCAGAATGGTTACCATGGAAAAAATGATGGTCTTCTATTTCTGCAGAACTGTTGCTGGACCGTCCACTTCTTGGTGGTGGAGGTGGGGGCATATTTCCTTGACCAGACGGTCTTGTTGAATTATCATGTGGTGGAAAAGGAATAGTGCCATTGTGTGTGGCGGGGAAAGTAACATTGACTGGAAAGAAAAGATACCTCAAAAATCGTAGCTATATTACCTGGGGCAGCAATTGCTAAAGTTGTTACAGCAAATAATGAAAGAAGGAACTTCATACTGTAGAAGTGGTGAAGTGAATGATTGATATGGTAGGATAGACATTCCTTTATATAGCAAGTATCACGTAGTGGAATCTATTTGCTCTTTGTAACATCACGTAATCCGTTGTCTATATGAATCATATAGATTGTACTTGAACACAATATGCCGATTATTAGTACTCTACAGATCATCATCAATATCAGTTAACCAACCATCCCATGTTTTAATTACACGAATGCTTGTTCATTGCTTGGATTAATCATTAATTCAATTAAACAAACACAATGAAGAAACTTTTGTGTTTTCTTTTTGGATGTGTCATCACTTTTTTTCGGTTCCAATGCCGTACTAGACCATGATGCGATCAAACAAACCGCTTATGTTGCTGGTCATTCGATTATTCTCTCTCCAATCTGTTTTCCACCTTCTCCTAAAGGTTCAACAAATTCAAAAGTGAGGATGAACAAATATTACCATCATTATATCCCTTTCAATTTTTCTAAAACTGATTGGAAATGGGCTTACACGAACCGAAAAAAAGTGCCGCTGATCTTGTTACTGAAAAATAATAATGCTGTATCATCCTCAGTGCGCTTGATGAGTTCATGTGAAAATGGGAGAAGAAAGGAGGAAATACTTTATAATCCCATACAATTTTGAGCTTAAGAGATAATATAACATGAAACTGGGGACAAAATATATCGACTAAAGAATGATGCGTTCTGTGACATAGCAACTCAAGCTGTTGATAAAGCGGAAGTTTCAACTTGAATAAACGAAGCTCGGACAGGATTGTCAACAAGGTCGTCTTGAGCTGGCTCTGATGAGCCAAGAATTAGTCATTCTCGCAACTAGAAACGCTTTTTGTTTATTCTATCAAAAGAGAAAGATGTCCATCTAGTGTTATCTTTCTAAGCTTGTTGCCTGCTACTTGACTTGAACATGGATGTCCATCCTGTTCATTCCTGTTCATCAGGTACTTATGACTACATATAAAAGCCAAATGCAAATCTCAGTCCTCACAACATTCTTCTGAGCAATCGTGCATCTGAAAATGAATTCACTTTTATTCTTCGCTCTACTAGCAACTGCCTCAGCACAACCGTGTCCTTCATGTGGAATTTTCCAAAAGGTTATTCTTTATGATTTTACTTTCAATATCTCTTTTTTCTTGGCAGATTTTTGCTGCGCCACCACCTCCTCCTGTTGTATTCCATCATAATCCCCCATGTTTCTCTCCACCATGCGCTCCCGTTGCTATCAGACATCCATCGGTAATCCTTTTCAACATGATATATGAGTACAGAATACTTCTAGTTTTTCATCCCACCACCAGCACCATGTGTAGGAGTTGCATGTGCTCCACCACCTCAAGTAAGCTCCTGTGCGTAGTAAAATCATTTACATATATCTTTCTCTCTTCAGGTGATTTTCCATCCACCACCACCACCACCATGTGTAGGAGTTGCATGCGCTCCACCACCTAAAGTAAGTTCCTGTGCGTAGTAAAATCATTTACATATATCTTTCTCTCTTCAGGTGATTTTCCATCCACCACCACCACCACCATGTGTCGGAGTAGCTTGTGCTCCACCCCCACCATGCGTTGGAGTTGCTTGCGCTCCACCTCCACCTAAGGTAATACACAAGATTTACTGAACTTCACACTAAGTTCAAAATTTTAGATTATTTTCCAAGCTCCACCACCACCACCATGTGTCGGAGTAGCCTGTGCTCCACCACCACCATGTGTCGGAGTAGCCTGCGCACCACCACCACCATGCGTCGGAGTTGCTTGCGCTCCCCCACCACCTCAAGTATCTAACCAGAGGGATCACTGAATGATAATGTTTTTCCAGGTTGTTTTCAGAGCTCCACCCCCACCATGTTTCGGAAATGCCTGCGCCCCCGCTCCTCAGGTAGTATATTGGCAGAACAACCTTTGAACAATGTTACCTTTTTAGGTTGTTTTCCAGGCCCCTCCCGCTCAAATCGCTTTTGGACAGCTCCCATGTTGCTCCGTTCAAGGTAAATTAATTTTTTCAAGCAGTGATAATACGCCCGAACATTTTAGACTTCTCGTGTTGTCATCGAATTTTCCGCCGTTACCGTAAACACGCTGAAGTAGAAGAGAAAGAAAACTCATCGACCACATCTTCTCCCAGCACCGAATAGAAACAAATGATCTCAATTGTCATCGAATGCAAAAAACAACTAGTCTTTCGTTCATATTATAGCTGATAATTGTGTTTAAATTAAATAAATTATTATTTAATAATCGTCATCTGACTACGAGAGAAGGGTTTACGATTCTAAAATCTGATCGGTCAATGAGATGTACGAAGAATGGAAAAGTACTAGTAGACGAGATGATTTATATTCATGACGCTCCTTATCAAACGAAGAAAAACTGGTTCTGTTTCATTCTTACCATAGTTTCTATGAAGAAATTCATCTCTCTCCTGCCTTTTACCAATCCATCACTAAGTTTTTTATGCAAATTTAGTCAACTTTTCCATATATAGTTATTTCATTTCCTCTCGGCAGCCAGAACTTTTTCAGAGAATGATAGTGAGGCAGCTTGTCATAGTTCTGTTTCTTCTTCTCACTTATGTTGAGTCGACATCTGAAGCTAATGAGGCAAGTTGCTTGATATTTTGAATATTCATCTACTTTGATAGTTTAGTTAATTCGATGGAGTTTAGTTCAAACGCCTTATACTATCGTCATTTGGCTCCTAGTCGCTTGTATCGCAAAAATAAGTAGTTTGGCCTCTAGCTCTTGATTTTCCCCTATGAAGTTTTCCAGAAAATGACATGGCTCACACATATTGTTCCTGATTCAGCTCTTCTGATAAGCTTAGGCTTGGTATACGTTAAACAAATATAGCGTTACTTCAGTTTTTTCAGCTAATTGGATTCATTCTTGTTCAAATCCAGTCTAGTGTGAATATCACTCTAGATGCTCACGTCTTCTTCATTTACCTCTTGCCTCCAATCATTTTTGAAGCTGGTTCGTTTATACATATGTGTATGTTTCGATTTGAATCATCATTAAGGATATTTCATGCCAAACAAGGCATTTTTTGAGAACTGTGACTCTATTTTTCTGTTTTCTATTTTTGGCACTGTTTGGAACACAATGTCTATAGGTGATGCTTCACCTTCACAGTGTAACTCATATCTACTTTGCAATCTCAGGAGTGTGCCTGATTGCCCTCTCCTACTTCAATCTGTTCAGTATTTCCTGTTCCAATGTCGAACTGTTAATATTTTCGTCTGTCATTTCCGCTAGTGATCCCGTGAGTTTGCGTAGAAAATAATATAAACCTATGCTGAAACAAAAAAATTGCTCTCTCTCCTCTTCTTCATTTCCATACGTTCGCAGTAAACTTACTGAAAATCAAAAACCAAGACCAAACAACGTTCCAGGTTGCAGTCATTGCCATATTCGAGGAAATTAACATAAATGAGTTCATATTTGTGAATGTCTTGGCAGAAGCTCTTTTCAATGATGGAATCAGTGTTGTTCTGTACAATATGTTCACATCCATCTTGGAGCAGGACCTCTCAGTGAATCTCTCCTTGGTCTTAGGGAAATCGTTCTTATTCGTTGTTGTCACAGCCGGCGGCTTGATCATCGGAGTAATTTTTGGTTTCTTGACAGCTTTTTCTACAAAGTAACTTTTTGATCTTAATCATAACGAAAATTATCTTCGAGGTTCACCAATGCAGTTAGAGTCGTAGCTCCGATCTTCATCTTCGTCATTCCTTATATGGCTTATTTGACATCAGAAATGCTGTCATGCTGTTCTATAATGGCGTATATAGTACCTCCAGAACCTAAAAAAATTAACGTGTGACTATAGAATCGCTGTATGTGGAATGGTGATGAAGCCTTACATTTCTGGAAACATTAGTACATCCGCGTCAAACTCGGTTAAATATTTCACGAAAGTCATAGCTCAATCATCGGAAACTGTGATTTTCATGTATGACATCCAACTGGCTATCCTTCTCAGACTTCTGTTTAGGTTTCTGGGTCTCTCAACTATTGCATATAGCCATTACGTAGACATTCCATTTATCGTCTGCACCATTTCTTTGACATTGATTTGCCGTACAATAGGTTAGCTCTTTCACATTGTTTTCGAATTGACAAGGAGCCGTTCAGGTGTAACAGCTCAGTGCGCTTTCCTGAACCGATTCAGAAGAAAAAAGTTTTCTATGGTATGTGTGAAAGAACAAGTAATTTGATTTTATGAAGCATTTTAGGTTGACCAAGTTCTGCTTTCCTATGGAGGGTTGCGTGGAGCTATCGCGTATGGACTTGCCATGTCTATCTCAGAGAGCATCAAAGGAAAACCTATGTTCATTACAACTACAATAGCGCTCATTTTCTTCAATGTCTTCCTACAGGTTATTTCTTAAAACAGTTAAACAGTCACTCATTGAGAAAATAGAATTAAAAGCTTTGATATGTATAGGGCATAACTATTCGACCACTTCTGAAATGGCTGAATGTGGAAACGAGGGATAATAGGAGAAGTACAATGACCGAAGCTGTCTACAATAAGGTTCATTAGTTGTCTTGTAAACAGTTAATTCTTCATTTGAAGTATATGTTATATTTGATGTCTGGAATCGAAGATATCATTGGGCAACGTGGCCATTATTCCTTCATCGATAAGTAAGCTTCACAATTCCTTATAGCCACATTGGCTGATGTTTTCAGATTTGAACGCTTTGATTCCAAAGTACTCAGACCTGTTCTACTTCGGAACGAACCGAAGAAGAATTTCAATGCTTCTGTGATTGTCCGCACTTATGCGAAAATGACTTTCGATGATGCTGTTGAGATGACACAAAGAAACAGCAAGAAAATTGAAAACCGTCAACTCAATTTGATCAAGGCGTAAGTAATCTGATATCTTGAAATAATGATGGTTGTGTTCAAGAGAAGAGGCTAGAAACAACGGGAGCAGTTATTCCCCTCAAGTTGGGGTAAGGGCACTTATTAAACTCCGAATGAGAATCATAGTTTTAGTTCTTTGCTACTGAGGAGAGTTTGCAGGCGTTGTATTCAATGTTTTGTAACTTATTGGAAGATAAACTGAAGGATATGGAACTGAGAACAAACAAACTAGAGGAGCTCGATGACATAAAGGACGACTTCATTCAACAAATCCAGAGCACCAGTGGCGATAACTTGGTGCGAAACAGTGGAGAACTTCCCAGAATATCTCCAGCTGCCGTAAAAGTTTTGAATGAAATCTTACATAACCATCGAACAACATAATCTGAAAACAATCAGAAAAGTGAAAGTAAATAAAAATTTATATGACAAGCACATGTTTGTTTCTGCTAGCATTAGCGAAATGTAAGGGAACAGAGTTCCTGCAGTATCTCTCAAAATGAAAACCCTTGATACTATATTTGACTTACTTTTCTGCTTAAACGCTCTCATCACTTCTTTCAATGAATTCCAATTGAATCAATCACCCCATGAATTTCAATTTAAGGTTGCATACGAAGTTAAAACAGAGTTTACTAATTCATAATGGTCATAGTAGATAGTTAGGGTTGACGCATTATGCGTTAGCTGACTCGCAAGTTGATGTTGGCGTTATAGTACGGTTCAGACATAAAGACAGTAAATTTTTATTTTTATCACAATTATATAGAACTATTTTCTAACACAGAAACAGTTCATTTTCCTTTGATTTTCTATCTATCGCAATGTTTTGAACTTTTCTTTGTTTTCCAAGGAATAAGCTCATAGCGAGAGGATTGTAAATAGGATGGCACAGTACAATGACTTGACGAACAACGACAACTTGCAATGCTCAGAAATGTTTCAAAGGGCTCCATCACCAGAATTATTCCCAGAAAACGTTCCCGGTGCCTGGGATTTGAATCGAGAGAATGAAGTATGTCTCCTGAAGAGATATCAGTACTTAACCGTTCTACATCCAGGTTTTAATGCCTGGTTCAGGCCACAATCGATTCCGTACTGACTTAGAACCAGAAGACGTCAAATTAGTAAACGGTTAGTTAGGACGGATACAATAGTTATTGAAGAAGGCTATCTACAGACCTTGGAAGATTAACCCCTGACCAATTAGCAGAATATATCAAGGCATTGCAAAGCAGCGCTTTCACTTTGGGAATCGAAGAAGGTGTGTTAATTCACTTCACCTTCCAACTTCTTTTTCACTCATTTCTCCTCACAAACGTAATATCGTCTAAGCCCTTCTTCAAGTTACATCGTTTCAGCGAAGCAGTTTTCTAAAGCCAAAGTCTTACAGATATTCAAGAAGTGATCTTTGAGTCTAAATATTCTTCACTTCTGTTCTTGTTTTAACTCATCCGATCTCCTGTTGTATCATATATTCTTCAACGTTTCAACCAATAAAAATCATAACCGTTTTAACTTCATTTGTTACTCCTTCACATTATTCAAATTTAAGCTCATATTCCAATCTATATGGTATAGATAAGAAAATGTTCTGCGTTAAAGGTTTAGGCGGGAAATCGTTGGTTGCGCGAAAAACGAGCGGGTGAGACTGTGAATTCAAACGCCACAGGCTCTTCTAAGATAAAAGGATACTTTAATTTGCCTTTTTGATTAAATTAATGATTTTTAACTTGTTATATTGTTAAGCTCTTCATTCTGAAAGTTTTTTTTTGATGTCATAGGCATAGATTGTTCTAGATATAGCCGAGAATGTCGTCCACTAACCATGAAGCCCCTTCTGAAATCGGTAAGACTGACTTTGAGTATTTAAAAGGAATCTGTTTCAAGATGAGGAGAACACGATTGGACAGAGAATAGATGACGATGAAGAAGATCCTATAGATGAAATGTTTAACAACGATGTCGATGACATAGAGGAAGAGGAGGGTGAAAATCTATTCGGGGACAATATGGAGAGGCAAGTGCATTTGTGTTCTCTTAGTACTTAATTTGATACATGTAGAGATTACCAACTACAACCCGAGTTGGATAGATATTCTGAATCTGGGCTTGACGATGAGAACGAGCTCTCCGAAATGGACATTGGCGATCGTAGAGCCGCAGAAAGAGAAATGGCTAAGAGAGACCATATGCAAGACGATGATGCTCTCTTCTATGAAGAAGATGATGACAGGGTTTGTTTTTAAATTGTAAGAATCGTTTCATTAGAAGTTTAGGATACTGGTCGAAACAGACGTAGAGTACGTAAAGCTGAAGAAGAGGAAGATGTTGCAATGGAAGATGATGATGTTCCTATTGATATTCTCGAGAATATGAGAGGCAGATCAGCTAAAGATCATGTATCAGATGAAGCTGTAGCCAGAGAAGTGGAGAGACGGTAATTAAGCGAGAATTTGATCAAAAATTCAACAAAGTTTAGGTTCAAAAACTTCCTTCGTGCTTTCAAAGATAAGGAGACAAGAAAGCCTAAGTATATTCAGGTAAGAATTTGTCTATTTCATTGATTTCAGATTTTTCTAGATGATAAAACAAATGGCTGCTGAAAACAAGGAGTCTTTGGAAGTGAACTATCAAGACCTCGCTGATGAGAACGGAGAACAAAACATTGTTTATTTCTTGCCTGATGCTCCAGTACAGGTAAATCAATTTAACTTTTGCATGTCATACTGCCTTTTTTTTTAACTTTATGAATCGTACCCATGTATGTGTTCATTTCTCTGAAGGCTATATAGAAATGTTGCAGATAAGGCTTATTATTGAATATCTTTATATAAGTCGATAGTCATTCAAACAGTATCTTTACAGATGTTCCGAATTTTGGATAAAGCATTAACCGATGTCGTTATAAATATGTATCCTTACTACTCTCGAGTTTGTGCCGAAGTCAAAGTGGGTTCATTAAAAAAACCAATGTTCAACTTATTCCCAGGTTCGTATCAGTAATCTGCCCGTAGAGGAAGATATCAAATCTCTACGCCAAGTCCATTTGAACAATCTTATCAGAACGACGGGAGTCGTAACTGTTACCACTGGTATAGCATTACCGCTTTTTACATCTTTATTTGAACTCTTCAGGAATTCTTCCTCAACTCTCTGTCATAAAGTATGATTGTGTCGGTTGTGGGTATCTTCTTGGACCTTTCGTCCAACGCGAAGATGAAGAAGTTAAGCCAACTATGTGTCCTGCTTGTCAAGGAAAAGGACCCTTTGAGCTTAACGTTGAACAAGTGGGTTCCAGTTGATCTAATGTTTGTTCATTTTCTGTTTGCAGACTATTTATCATAACTATCAAAGAATTACTATCCAAGAATCACCAAACAAAGTTGCTGCTGGTCGTTTACCACGGTCTAAGGACGTTATTCTTCTCGGAGATTTGTGTGATACATGCAAACCTGGAGATGAAATAGTAGTTTAACGAATTGGATATGTATTTCAATTTCGTTTTCAGGAAGTTACCGGAGTTTATACTAACAATTACGATGGTGCCTTGAACTATAAGCAAGGATTCCCTGTTTTCAATACAATTATTCACGCTAATCATATTACTAACCACGACAAAGTTGCCAGTGACCAACTAACTGATGAAGAAATCAAGGTTTAGTTTTTACTATAATTCGTTAGTATGATAGATTTCAGGCGATTCGAGAATTGTCAAAGGATCCTAAAATTGCTGAGCGTATTTTTGCATCTATCGCTCCTTCTATTTACGGGCATGACGATGTCAAGAAGGCTATTGCTCTTGCTCTTTTCAGAGGAGAACCCAAGAACCCAGGAGAGAAGCATAAACTTAGAGGTCTTGATTTTGGTTTTTCTCATCTATTCCTGGATTATAGGTGATATCAATGTTCTTCTTTGCGGAGATCCTGGAACGGCTAAGTCGCAATTCTTGCGATATGCTGGTCACATTGCTCCTCGAGCTGTTCTAACCACCGGCCAAGGAGCTTCTGCCGTAGGTTTGACTGCTTATGTTCAGAGACATCCAGTTACTCGTGAATGGACATTGGAAGCTGGAGCTATGGTATGCTGCCGTACAATTTCGCCTATATATCTTTTTTAGGTCTTAGCTGACAAGGGTGTCTGCCTTATCGACGAATTTGATAAAATGTCTGATCAAGATCGTACATCAATTCACGAAGCTATGGAACAGCAATCAATTTCAATTTCTAAGGCTGGTATCGTTACTTCTCTCCAAGCGCGTTGCACCGTGATTGCTGCTTCTAACCCAATTGGTGGAAGGTATAATGGAACTGTTTTTTGTGTATATATTATCCCGCAGGTATGACCCATCACGCACATTTGCCGAAAACGTTGATCTCACTGAACCTATTCTTTCTCGTTTCGATGTTCTTTGCGTTGTGCGGGATACTGTTGATCCAAATGAAGATGAGAGGTGAATCCATTTTTTACTATATTTGAAATTTTTTTATCATGTAGGCTCTCCAAGTTTGTTGTTGGTAATCATATCAGATTGCATCCAGACAAGCAGGAAGAAGAAGAGCTGGATGAAAACAAAGAAAACCAAGAGACACAGGTAAATAAGATTACAAAAGACCTTATTTACGCTAGTTAACCTAGGTTGATGAGAGAACGGGATTAATTCTGATTCCTCAAGACCTCCTGAAAAAGTACATTCTGTTTGCTCGTGAGAAATGTCATCCAACGTTGAGTGAGAAACATTCTGATAAGTTCTCCAGTGTTTTCGCCCAAATGAGAAAAGAGAGTATGGCAACTGGCTCTGTTGCTATCACTGTTCGTCACGTAGAATCAATGATTCGTTTATCTGAGGCTCATGCCAAACTTCATTTGAGATCGTGAGTTTCTCTTTATTTCTCTGAATTATTTCTTCTTAAGTTATGTAAATGATGAAGATGTTCAAGTTGCGAGTAGAATCATGGTGGAATGCTTCGTTAATACCCAGAAAGCCTCAATCATGAGATCTATGAAAAAGGTAAATCAATTTCTTTCAAATTTTTCATTATTGTTAATTTGCGTCTTCAGACATTTTCAAAACACCTGACAGCTTCTCGTTACACCATAGCTTGAAAAAATAAGGGCTATGCAAACTAACTCTTTTGTAAGACAGTCTAACTCAATCCCTCATTATACTAGAAAGATGGTTGACCCATTTAGATCTCGAGAATACACGGAAACGTTTTAAAGTTGTACGGACTGTTTTAGTAATTTGTTTCACGTTGTGTGTATCCTGCCCGCTGATATTAATGAATTTCTTATATGTTTCCTTCGCACAACTAATACATAGTATACATGCTAGTGGGTTATTTGACGGGAAAAGTTACCCTGTTTGTTATTAGGACAGGAAACAAATTTGAAGCGTGTATGTGATGAGGTTGTTAAGATAGCTGGCTCAAGTTAGGAACTCTGTCGGTGGGAGAAGTAATGATGGAAAATTTATTCGAATCTATACTTTGAACAACTACAGAAATAATGATGAGAACAACTGGTTCCATTCTAACCATTCTTAGAATCATACATAGAAGTTCTCTTCAACTGTGCTAACTACA